ATAATTTTGACCCATACAATGTATTGTTGGCTATTGCTTCAAATATCCCCCAGCGACTTAAGACTGCTTTTGTGCTCCAGGGTCACAAATTTAATATATAAAACTATATTTTAACATTTTTGTTTGACTTTTTTGGCTTTGAAGCAATTTGAAATGTAGTTTACTTAAACCACCACCAGGACCGAAGTCCATACCTCATTTATATGGATTGAGTTGTGCAAGTAGGAAATATTATATAAAAGTGAGCTAATTTGGTTTGAGTTTTATGCATTTTGTCTTTTGTCAGTCGTTGATGCGTTTTCAAGTGTTGGGGTATGTTTGGAGCGGAGGTGAGTGGTGTGGTAGTCTGGACAAGCTTCAAGAATCAGTGAAATGATTGGATCTGTGTGGATAAGGTAAAGAAGAGCAGTGCAGTGACGGTCACCACTTAACTGTAATTTTATTCAGAAAATGCATGAAGAAGCCGATGTTAATATATGTATACAACATGAACTATATTCATTAATGTTCAGTTTTGCTTCTCAAGTGGGTTTTTTTTTTTTGCCTCTCCAGTGCCAACCAGATTTGTTTGGCTGGATTATGAATGTGCCAAGAACCAAATATTTTGCTGCTGAAAAATGTACGTGGTTTTGATAAAGCAGACATAGACACTTATATAATCACACATTTTAATGAATGAAAAAGGAGGAAGTTCAGTAAGCATTTTGGTGGCGCTACTTACATTCGGAGTAACTGCAGTTAGTCAGTGTAACTATCAACGTAACATCAGAAGAATAAACAGCAAGAGCTCTTAAATGTTCTATATGCAACAGCGACGGTATCTTTCACAATAAATGTTCTTGAGTTCATGATGCGATGGTTGTGACTGGCACAAGGTTAGCTCAGACCCATGAAATCTACAGGAAACGTCTGTAACCTTTTCCAATGATTCGTCAGCACTGAAGCGATGACATTGACATTAAATTCCGTTCCCAGTACCTCAGTGTACAATAAGAGCAATAAGTATCCACAAAAGTGTAACAAAACAGGTTGACATTTTGGAGAAACCAATCATGTGGTACAATGTATGTATGGAGGGTTAAAGTACTGCTAGTTGTTCTCAAATAGTAAGCAAGAAGTTTATTTTCATCTGCACTTAATCACAGAAACCGCTAGTAGCGGTTGGGGCTGTTGACTTGCTGTTTAATATGAGGACTGAATGGTAACTACCCTTATTAAATGCTTTATCTCAATGACCTTTTTTTCTCTCTTGGCTTTATTCACAACTCAAAATCAGCGTAGTCTTAAATGAAATTTCAGCTTTCTGGAAAAGTTTTAAAATAAATAATTACAAAATCAATAACAAAGATATTTTAAATGAATTAAATGTATTCACATGGAAGACAACATTTCCAATATAAAAAAAAAAAACCTTCCAAAACAATCAACACTGGCTCCTATTACAATAAGGCTAATAATTATCTATGCTTTTGGCCAGTTTCAAACCGCTGTAGCCTGTATAAGCAAAGTGAATTAAATGACCGAATAAAACACCAAAAGTCACTAAAATCCGGAAAACACAAATTTGTTCTTTAACATATAAAAATACTATACCAAAATGAAATACAAATATATATTAGAATCTGTTAAGCATTCTGTATAAAGTGAAGGTCCTAGGGAGTTAGGAAAAGGAAATCAAAGCGAAAACAAACACCCACCCAAATGAAAAGAAATAAGCCAAACTGCACTTCTTTGTGTTTTAATCCTAGGACGATGTTCGTGGCAATTTGCAAACCTTCATGAACGCAGTAGCTTGCAGAGGTAATACTGAAGGAATCAAAAAGAGAACATGGTGGATTCTGGGAAATCGTTAGTGTTACGTCAGCGGGAGACGGGAGAATTGTCACTTCTACAGTGTTGTGGTCATAACCCATAGTCATATTGTACCCCTCAAACAGTTTCAACACTGGCCAATATAAAAACTGCAGTGGCGTTGCATATTTAGCAGTGTTTCGATAAGCGATGTTCTATTTTCTGCTCCGCAGTACTAATATTAACCACAATCCAGACATCACATGACAACGAGCATGCATCTTAGAAAACGGTGTGATGAGATCTAGCTAGCGCTTGACTTCAGCTCTCCCTTACATTCTGTAGAGTTCTCTGTTTGAGGTAATGGAGTGACAAACACTGTATGGAATAGATCGAATGGATCCTTTTGCTTGACTTTCCTTTTCTTCTCGATCTATCAAAAGTGGAAATATTGTAAAGAAGCTCCCCTCCAACAACGTAACTATGTTATGGCACCAGGAGCGTCGCAGTGCTCTTCACACGTTCACATGGAAGGCTGTTGGGTATTTTTGGCCCCCGTCTAGTTTATTAAGGATGCCATATTTGCAGTGGAATTGGGGCAGGGACACATGGAAGAGTCCCGTGTGCCACCCATAACACAAAATGATTGGAAATATCTGGTAAGACAGCATGTCGTTCCGTGCATATCTGGTTTCACACGTTCTATTTTACCAGCATGTCTCCGAGGATGTATTCTTCCACACAGATATATCATACATATAGTTTTTTTTCAGGCATGGTGGAAATGTGAATGTTCCTTTCATCACCATTACAGAGTCTTATGTGCTCAAATACACGTCCTGCACTGCAGAGAGAGTCAAAAAGACCATCATTTTCTTCTAATAGGTGTCCTGCTTTTGGGCTGAAACAAGCTAGGGGCCACCTCGCTCGCCTTTCCTCTCAGCAGAGTTGCTGTTAATTTACCATTCTGAGACCTCACGAAAGGACAAAATGGGGTTGAAATTTCAGGCTGTGGTGGAAATATAAAAGGGTGGGGGGTTAGAGTGGTGGTATGTCTCTGTATACCCAATGAAAGATATCTATTTCTGTTGACTTTTTGTGATGGCTCTTTCTGCGGATCTGTCAGACTGTGATGAGGCGGTGATGCTAGTGGTTGTGTTCTACATGCACCCCACACAGCCACACTTGATGGTCTTTTCAACCTCCTCGCTGAAGGATGCGCCATCGCTGCACTCGAAAGTGTATTTCCTGCGCTTCATCCTTTGACTGGCGCAGCAGGAGCCGGTGTCGCAGGAACCGCTGCACTCCACCCAAGACACCATGCGTGTGGTCTGACAGATGGCGTAACCGCGCTGGACCTGATAGAAGTCCCGCACTGGCTCCCCGTGGCACTCAGACTCTAAAACAACATGAAAGTCAAATTGACAATGGACAGTTACTCATCCAATAGCATAAAAAACTAATTTAATAATAGTAAAGGAGCTATCCATGCTTTATCTCATCAGAAACAGAATGTTTGACAATGACCATATGTCTGAAGGTTGTGCTTATGTTTTCTTACCCTTGTCACATAACTCTCCACTGTAGCCCATCTCGCAATGACAGTAGGCATCTCCTGTGTCAGATAACTGACAGTGGCCATGTTTGCATTGAAGCTTTCTGCATGGATTGAAGAGCTCTTCCTGCTGGTTGCACAGGGCTCCATGAAAACCCTCCTGGCACTCACAGCGGTACGACTGCGTGTCCATTGGAATACATCTCCCGTGGACACACCTGTGTAAAACGAATGAAGGAATTAGAGCATTACTTGTTGCGCCTCGGTCTGCTCTGCATATTTCACCTCAAGAATTTGACTGACTTGCTGCCCAGGCAGGGGTTCGCCGAAGGCTGGTCACAGTGTTGCCCACTCCATCCGGGCTGGCAGTGGCATACAGGGCCCGTGGCGGTGTTGGGCTGGCAAATGCCATGGAGGCAGTATATCTTTCGGCAGGGCTCACATCCGGGCACCACACCAGGTTTCATCTGGGTTTTGGTAAAGTCTTGCAGCTCATTATTGATGTAAAGGTTCTGAATACAGCCATGAAAACTGGAGCTGTTTTGGATCTGCCAGACGCGGGGAGCTGTGGGGTGGACACTGACCGGCATGCCTGATTCAGTGAGAACATTTTGTAAAGGCCGAGTTGGGAAGAGACCAGTGGTACACATGTAGCAAAATACTGATGCCACATAAATTCAGTTACCATTAATGGTTTATGTCAGCGCTCTACAAATCCTGCTCCTTGAGGCCAACTGTCATATACAGAGTTTATCTGCAACTCTGATCAAACACACCTGAACAAGTCAATAAAGGTATTCAGGATTACTGGAAAATTACGGGTAAGTGGATTTAATAAGGGTTGGAGCTAAACTCTGTAGGACAGTGGCCCCTCCAGGACTGGATTTGAAAAAGCTTGGTATACTGGTTTGGTGATTCTAGCAAAGTTCAAGAGCAATAGAGCGGAGAGCATGTGTCGTGTCTAGGTAGGTTCATGGGTGCACAGTGGTGATTGACAGTATTGTACAATTATGGTAGCTGTGATGGAGGCAGATGTCCTTGGTGCACTCCTACCTCCCACATATAGTGGAGCTTCTCCTCTCAAGGGCTGCACTTTACCAAAGTTGTCCATGGTTGTTGGGATACCACCATCTATTGAAAGGTTCACCATCTGGTCAAAGGTCACCAGTTCTACAGTGTGGAACTGACCATCATTGATGGTCTCAGTACTGTGTGTAAAACAAGCATGGAAGATATCTGATGTGAAAGCTTTATAATTGTTTCATTTGTAGTCAGCTGCTGAGTGGAAAATACAAAATGACTTGATCTTTTGAAAATGAAATGTAGTGATCAGTGATCTTCATAATTAATAATATCCCTGCATGCCAACATTTAATTTGAATTAAAAAAAAAAATATATA